CCCCTTTTCTCTCTCTACCCCCTCTACTGTAAATCATTTCTTCCACTTGTATTATCTTGTCTTACCTACAGGGTTTTCTTTTACCTGGTACTTGGGATTAAACCCAGGATGCTTAACCACTGAGCCACATCCCCAGCCCATTTTATTTTTTATTTTGAGACAGAGTCTGACTAAGTTGCTTAGGTCCTTGCTAAGTTGCTAAGGCTGATCCTGCCTGGATTTACAGACATGCCTCAACATATCCAGCTCTACAAGGTTTTCTTATTTAATCCTTACAACAGCCTTATCAATAAGAGACTGTTTTATTCCTTATTTCTTAGAACGTCTGATGAGCCAGGCACAGTAGTGCATACTTGTAATCCCAGCAACTCTGGAAACTGAGGCAGGAGATCCCAAGTTCAAGGCCAGCCTAGGCAATTTAGCAAGATCCTGTCTCAAAATTTTAAAAAATTAAATGGTGTGGGGAATCCGGGTATGGTGACACACAACTGTACTCTCAGTGGCTCAAGAGACTGAGGCCAGAGGATCACAAGTTCAAAGCTAGCCTCAGCAATTTAGCAAAGCCCTAAGCAACTCAGTGAGACCCTGTCTATAAATAAAATATTTAAAAAAGGGAGCTGGGGCCAGGCGTGGTGGAACATGCCTGTAATCCCAGTGCCTCAGAAGGCTGAGGCAAGAGGATCAAGAGTTCAAAGCCAGCCTCAGCAAAAATGAGGCACAAAGCAACTCAGTGAGTCCCTATCTCTAAATAAAGTACAAAATAGGACTGGAGATGTGGCTAAGTGGTCGGGTACCCTTGAGTTCAATCCCCAGAAACCTCTGCCCACCAAAGGGTGGGTGGGGCTTGGGGATATGTCTAAATGGTTAAGCACTGCTGGGTTCAATCTCTGGTACCAAAAAATAGGGGGTGGGGATATAACTCAGTGGAAGAACACCCCAGGTTCCATCTCTAGCATCAGTAAATCAGAAAACAGGCCCAGAGGTTACACATTCCAAATCTGAAACAGATTATAAATAGATGAGCCAGGTCTAAACAGGTCTGGCTTATTATAGAGCTGAGTTCTTAAATTATCAAGGAAGTATTCAGAACTTTGAAAGTTAAGCTTTCCTGTCCTTTTCCAGTTTTGTTTTTGCTTTTAGTATTTTGTTTTCAGATAATTTGAATTTAAAATTTTAAATTAAATTTCAGACTGAAATAGAGAATAGTTTCAATTTGTCCATCTCAAAAAGAGTTGTTAAAGTGTATTTATCCTTAATAGACCTTAGGGCTCTTTTAAGATTGAGTTGAAATAAATTTTTAAATATATTTGATTTAACTGAGAAGGACAGTTTCCCCAGTTGAAAAGAAATATAGGAGGATCTTAACTGGTAAAAAGAATTAAGTATTTAATTCTTTTAGAGTCTTGTGGACTTATTATTCAGAAGAAGCAGTGCACTTTCAGATTTTTTTCAAATATCATTTTCCTTTCAGTTTCCACTGTCTGCAACAGCCCCAATGGTGTGGCTCCCATACTCCTCTATTGATCAGCTTCTCCAGGCTCTGGGAGAGAACAGTGCCAACAGTCACAACATCGCAGTATGTAAACTCTTTAATGAATTGTCTTCTTTGAACTCCTGCAGTAGCAAGCTATGCTTAACAAGTTGATCTTCAATTCCTAAGGACTAGAGGGAGAGCAAAAGCCAAATATTTATCCCTGTTAACATGCTGTTCCAGTTACATTATAAATAAGGTCAATGATTTAAGCAACTTTTCAAAAAAAATAAATAAATAAACTAATGAAAAACCATGCATTAATTACACAGAGACAAACTGCATTCAGTCCATTTTTAAAGAAATTTACAGGGTTGGGGTTGTGGCCCAGTGATAGAGCACTCACCTAGCACATGTGAGGCACTGGGTTTGATCCTCAATACCACATATCTAACATCAGTCTTTTTTAATCCTGGAATTACTCTGTAACGATTTCCTTCTTTTCCTTTACAGCTATCCCAGAAAATACTTGACAAATTAGAGGACTACCAGCAAAAAGTTGATAAGGCAACACGTGATTTATTATACCGCCGGAACTTGTGATGAGGATTGTTACTAGCCTTTGAAACCACTTGGTGCCTCTTAGGGCTTAAGACTACTCTACCAGGAACCCTGTACTCAAGGCTGATTTTCCAAACTGTAAATGATGTGTACAACACTCAAGTCTGCATCCTGCACAAAATAGGAGGGCAGAAGAGTCAGAGGACCTGTGCTTGCTGGTGGTGCTAACACAATTTCTGCTTTTCAACCTTGGTCTCTCAAACAGCTACTTTTGTATATGATTCACAGCTTTTTTAGAGTTTATATATTTTTTTAAACTATTGAAGACATTCTTTATCTTCAAATTAAGACCTACTCTCACGTTCCAAAATAGCTGATGGTTGGTTTGTTATAGCTGACCACCAAAAGCAGTCACTGCAAATATTTTAATTCTTCCCTATCACTTTTTGTATTTCAATGGAATTATTTTGGTCCAGAACTGACATGTATTTTCTGTATTGCAAATGGAGGCTAATGACTTTATGTACTCTTTTCATTATTTATTGTGGAGTTTTTGTATGATCTTCAATAAAGTATTAAATAATTTGCCTAGTTAAGCGTAAAATTACGACCAGATGTTTAAAGAAGGTATCATACTTTGAGTCAGGTGTGGTGGTGCATGCCTATAAATCCAGCACCTGGGGAGGCTCAGGGGCAGGAGGATTGCAATTTGGGAGTCCAGCAAAGACCCTACATCAAAATAAGAAATAAAAAGGACTAGAATGGGGCTTGGGATGTAGTTCAGTGGCAGAGCGTTTGCCTAGCACTCGCAAGGCCTGAGTTCGGTCCTCAGCCCTGGATAAAAAGCAGGGACGGGACTAGAATGTAGATCAGTGGTGGAGTACTCCTGAGTTAAAGCACTAGATTGCAATAAAGAAAAAAAATGTGGGGGGGCTGGGGTTGTGGCTCAAGTGGTAGAGCACTCGCCTAGCACGTGTAAGGCATTGGGTTCAATCCTCAGCACCACATAAAAATAATATAAAAAAGTAAAGATATTGTGTACATCTTTAAAAAATAAAATAAAGATATTGATTGTGTCCACCTAAAACTAAAAAAATAAATATTAAAAAAAAATGGAAAGCGTAGCTGGGGATGTAGCTCAGTCGTAGAATATCCCTTGTTCTGTCCCCAGTACTGCAAAAAAAGAAAATATTATATTTTGAATCAGGTTCTGAAGCTAAAGTTGGGTAGACTTTTAGCTAAGAAAACAAATGGAAGTCCACCATGTAGATTTTTCAAGTAAATTCTAATAATGTATAGGGCCAGAATGTACTGGATTGAGAAGCTTTCATGCCTATAAAATTTTAAGACAGGGTCTAAATTGCCCAGGCTGGCCTTGAACTTGTGATCCTCCTGCGTCAGTCTCCTGAATTGCACCACCACACCCAGCTATATACTTAAATTGTGTGAATTTTTGCATGGTATTGTTGGTAGATTGAGATGTGTTTCTTTCTTTCATTTTAATTCTATCATGATTAATATGAGGCATTTGGTGCAATTAGGGATTGAGAGAGCCCTTGAACTCCCAGCTCTCTAAACTTTGGGTTTTTAACCATAGTAAGACACTTTGACCTAGATGTACATATTTAACCCATGGCCTGAAAAACATTGTACCCTATCATAGCATCTCTGTGGAGAGCTTCAAGTAGTGAGAGACTGGCTACTCCAGAAATTCTATCCAGTGGATTGCTGATCAAAGAAGGTATGGCTTCATGAGACCTCGACCAACTTTTCCTGTCCCCGTATTTTTTTGATTCAAGGCCTAAAACCCATGCTGGAGCCAGTCTAGATTTTCTATTTTTCTTCTATCTTTTTCATTTTGATTCCTACCAGAACACAATGTGTATGCAACCTCCATTCCAATTTGACCCTTTGGAGTTTGTGTTTTTGTTTGCTAGACCTTGTGACTTTTTTTTTCCTGGTGCCAGGAAGAGTGAATCAAGGGACACTTAACCACTGAGCCACATCCCCAGCCCTTTTTTATAAAGTATTAGAGACAGTGTTTCACTGAGTTACTTAGGACCTCGATAAGTAGCTGAGGCTGGCTTTGAACTTGTGATTTTCCTGCCTCAGAGCTGGGTGCAGTGGAACACTGCACTCAGTGGTTCTGGAGGCTGAGGCCCGAGGATCCCAAGTTTGAGGCCAACCTCAGCAATTTAGAAAGGTCCTAAGCAACTTAGTGAGACCCTGTCTTAAAACTAAAAAAAAAATAATAAAAATAACAAAAAAAGTGCCCTCAGAACTGAGCATGGTGACACAAACCTGTAATCCCAGTGACTCCAGAGGCTGAGGCAGGGGAATTTCAAGTTCAAGGCCAGCCTCAACATTTTAGCAGTTTAGCATGACACTGTCTCAATAAAGGGATATAGTGGGCTGGGGTTGTAGCTCAGTGGTAGAGCACTTGCTTAGCAGATGTGAGGCAATGGGTTCGATTCATGGCACCACATATAAATAAATATACTTTTCAACTAAATACAAGGCTCATCGACTCTTTTTTAGGTGTAGTTGGACACAATACCTTTATTTTTTTATAATTTGTTTATTTTTACGTGATGCTGAGGAACGAACTCGACATCTCGCATGCACCCTACCATTGAGCCACAACCCCAGCCCCCTACATCAATAATTTTAAAAATATTTGGAAAAAAATGAGGATATAGCTGAGTAGTAAAGTGTCCCTGGGTTCAATTTCCCAGTACTTAAAAAAATACTTCCATTATTTTCCTCACTGGGTATAAAAGTGCTCATCTGTAATCCCAGTGACTCAGGAGGCTGAGGCGGGAGGATTGCATGTTTGAGGCTAACCTCAAGAATTTAGCAAGACACTGTCTCTAAAAGGGCTGGGATGTGACTTAGTGGTTAAGTGCCCCTGGGTTCAATCCCTGCTCCTCCTCCAAAAAAGGCCAGTGACTTGGTGAAGCCCTGAGCAACTTAGTGAAACCCTGTCCCCAAAAAAATAAATAAACAGGCCTGGGAATGTAACTGTTAAATTGTTCCTAGGTTCAATCCCCAGTACCAAAAACAATAAATAAAATGTTTTTTTAAAAAGGGGGGAATCTGCCAGGTGTTGTGGTTCACGCCTGTAATCCAGCGGCTCAGGAGGCTGAGATAGGAGGATAGTGATTTCAAAGCCAGCCTCAGCAACAGCAAATCACTAAGCAGCTCAGTGAGACCCTGTCTCTAAATAAAATAGGAAATAAGGCTGAGGATGTGGCTCAATGGTTGAGTGCCCCTGTATTCAATCTCTGGTACCAACCACCACCAAATAAAAAAAGGGAACCTCTTTATTCCAGCTAAAATGTTTGCTTCTGGGTTTGGTTATTATCTCATTCTCTAGATTTCTCCCTAAAGTCAGATAAAGAAAGGGTGCTGGGGTTGTGGCTCAGTGGTAGAGCATTTTCCTAGCATGTTTGAGACACTGGGTTCGATTCTCAGCACCGCATATAAATAAATAAAATAAAGGTCCATTGACAACTAAAAAATATTAAAAAGAACTTCGTTTGGGATTGGTAACTGTAACATTAGGATGGGTAACTCCATTTGGGTTGGGTCTTCCTGTGGGCCTACACTCAGTCCAATGATTTCCTGTAAGTTTTTTGTTGTTGTTTTGTTTTTTTGGTACTGGGGATTGAACTCCGGCACTTGGCCACAGAGAGACATCCCCAGCCCTTTTTTGTATTTTATTTAGTTGCTTAGAGCATCACCATTGCTGAGGCTGGCTTTAAACTTGGGATCTTTCTGCCTCAGCCTCCTGAGCCTCTGGGATTTCAGGTGTGTGCCATCGTGCCCGGCTCTCCTATAAATATTTTTTAACAGAACAAAATCTTAAAACCTGGCTACAATCACCAGCTCTGCAAGAAAAAAAAAAAAACTGACTACTGCTTGATTCTGCTATTAGCCACCTCCCTTCTTAAGTATCTACCAACCTTTGGCAGATAACCACATTCCTGTCACTAATGAGAAAGTAAATGGAACTTATAGTCTATTGGTAACACATTCTAGAAAACATAGTTAAGCTGATTTACCTCACTCTGGAACACTTTTACTACTAGTATACAGTTTATATTATAGGAAGTCATAATGTCCTTTGATCTTCCCCCCCATTTATGATACTAGAGATTAAATCCAGAGGCACTCAACTATTAAGGGATATCCCTAGCCCTTTTCATTTTCTTTTTAAATTTTAATCAGGATCTCCCTAAATTACTAAATTGCTGAAGCTAGCAATTGAACTTGTGATCCTCCTGCCTTAGCCTCCTGAGTCTGTGGGATTGTAGGCATGCACCACCACGCCCAGCTATTGTCCTTTAATCATCACAGTTCTCTCCAATTATATGCATAGTACCTAAAAACATAGTCATGTATTATGGCTTTTTGCTCAAATTACGGAGAGACCTTAATATAGGTAACTCATTAATCCTTTTTTGTGTGTACAAATAGCTCCAGCTAAAGGTCAATTTATTGTTCAAATTACCTATGGAATAAAAATAGGTATTTCTTTCAGTAAATCAGGCTTCATGGTTTAAATGAATTTCCATAAAACACATGAGGTCACGTAATGTGGTATAATAAATCTGGTCTTTGTCACTGGTTCCTGGCACAGAACTTCAAAAACCTTTGGAATTTCCTGAATGATGGGAATTTATTAAGCTAATAAAGTGACTCCTGGTGAGCCCCTGACTAACTTGAAAATTGGGGCTGGTCCCCTGAAGACGAACTGCAAGATTAAAAGGTGGAACTTTGGGTTAGGCCAGCCTCTGGGAGGACAGGAGAGCTGGGGATTGAGTCCAGTCTTGTAGCCAATTAATTCAATCACGCTTATGCAATAAAGTCCCGTTAAAAACTCTGAACACCACACTGTAGTATAAGCTTTCAACTTGGTGAACACATTGATGGGCTGGGAGGGTGACACACCCCGACTCCTCAGGGAGGCGACATGGGAGCCACACTCCTACAGCTTGCCCTATTTATCATCCTTTCCATAGAAATTATTTTTACTTCACCCAGCACAGCTCTTCTTCCACAGGTGCTGTGGCTGTCAAAGAAATGGAGTCATCTGCCAAGCTGGCTCACCTTACTGCAAGCATTACTGAGCCCAAGGACATGGATGTGATCTCTATATAAGTCACATGGCTTTCCTTAGTTCCAAAGTTATAGTCCCTAATGAAAATCCTTGGCAACAGCCAATAAATGCAGGAACTATATAACACAAGGAGCTGGGCATATGTGACGCATCAGTGTGGTGGAAAAACCTCAAAAGTTTGTGTCCTTTAAAAACAACTGCAGACTAAATTAACAAACATGTTTGAAATAAAAGCAATTATTTAGGGGCTGGGGTTGTGGCTCAGTGGTAGAGCACTTGCCTTGCATATGTGAGGCACTAGGTTCAATTCTCAGCACTGCATATAAATAAATGAATAAAATAAAGGTCTCTCAACAACTTAAAAATTTTTTAATCAATTATTTATTAAGCACTTTTTGTGAGCCAGACACTGTCTCTGTTTCAAGAAATGTTCTCAAAATTATTCCCTTTAATACTCAAATAATCCTTT